GGGCCGCACCATTGCAGCGCGTAGCTGCGTTCGAAATTGACACCCTCACAGCTTAAAAATCGCAATTTTGAGCAAGACTAAGTTTGAAAAACTATTTTTGTTTTATTTTTTTTTTTGCAGGCTCAACACCAAAACTAGACAACTCTATGTGAACTGAAGCAAATTTTCCTTCAGTGTTCTTCTTTTTTACATTTAGGAATGTTTTCCGGGCTTTGAAGCCGTGGTCTATGGGAATTTCTTCCTGACGTTTCGTCCACAACTGCGCTGGACATTATCAAAGGCGAAGTGATCTCCCGTGCTTTCCGACTAAGACTGGTGAAGGCCACGCACAAATTTCTCAAATACTTTGGACGCACTTACTAAACTGATGTCATTAAATGGAAAAAAACATTGACCTCTCACCTCAAATCACATTTAGAAATACACACACATACACACTTATTTACAAAAACTTGTTTGATTGAACATTTAGAAATGTTTTTCGGGCTTTGAAGCCGTGGTGAAAAGGAGAAAAGATTGATTGTTATTAGTTGAACTCTAATATTTTTTAGTCAAAGAATACACTGGTTGGCTTGCACTTACATTCAAATTACGCGCAAAATCGTTTTTGTAAAAATTGAAACATCGAATGAGCAATCTTGTCCCATTTCATTCAATTGACGCTTGGACTACAGGCGGTAAAGCTGAGTGGAAGGTAGTTTCGACACGCTGCAGCCTCATGTAGTGGACTTTTATACATGGCTGTCAGACAGAGGTCAATGTTTTTTTCCATTTAATGACATCAGTTTAGTAAGTGCGTCCAAAGTATTTGAGAAATTTGTGCGTGGCCTTCACCAGTCTTAGTCGGAAAGCACGGGAGATCACTTCGCCTTTGATAATGTCCACCGCAGTTGTGGACGAAACGTCAGGAAGAAATTCCCATAGACCACGGCTTCAAAGCCCGGAAAACATTCCTAAATGTGATTTAACCGGCCATAAAAGCCTTCATAGTCTGATTCTTCTTCTTTAGTTTCTGTCATCAGCGAAAGTCCATTCAATTACAATCAACCATTATCAAGCCAAACTGGAAAAAACTGAAAAAAAACCAATTAAGTAAGAACACCGTACAAAATCCTACTAAAGACACCACATGATCACTACGTGTCACGATTATTTTTTGTGCTTTGTCAAGCAAAGTACTGCTGCTCTGATTACATATATTAAAGTCATAATGTGTGATTGCGTACTAGAACGGTGCTACCAAAGGATGATCAAAAAAAAAACGCTGAAAAGTAATGTTGAAATTAGGTTTCAACGTTTCTTGTTGCCACCCGAAGAGAAATGAATAAAACACCCAGTTTTCCCTTAAAGGTTACTTTAATGTGCACGGTAAAATGCCGATCAGCAGCTGCAAAATACGTAAGCAGCGTAAACGCTGCAGGAGGGAGATTGAAGAAAAACAATCGAAAGTTTCTGCATCGTGCGTGCAAAATACTCAGGCGGATTTTCCGGTACAAGTAAATCCTTCAAGAAAATATGTGTCCGCGTTGAGAAAATGCGGTTTTACTTTTGTCAAACACTCGTGAGGAATTCATTCAAAATCAGTCTTACGGATCATCAATCGTCGTTCATTTGTCTGGCTGGATCTGGTCCACGTAGGAACGGTATAGTTTCTTCTTGCTCAAAGTGTAGGCAGGGCTCAAAACGACTATGCCGCCTTTCGTGAGATTTCTGAAACAAACAAACACGTTTCGAATGCATTTTGTTTCGACTATTGCCCGAATGATCGTGAAACGAGGACAAACGCATAATAAAATCGGAATTTCGATTCGATTTCATGTGATTAACTTTTTCGAAGTGGGCTCGGTGCTGAGATTAAGTTTCACCATTTGATCGATCGTCTTGTTTGGAGTCGGAAACTCATTTGATTGTATTAGCTGTTGGGAAAAAATATTTTTTTTAATTTCCATTGTGTTCTGGATTTCGACTTAATTTCCCTGTTTACTGTGACGCTGCGCAAATAACGGCGACACGGAAGCAAACCGGAATAACTTCCGGTAGTTCGCACCTTTAGCAAAGTACCTGCTTAATTCCTCAAAGCTTAACCTCCCCTAGTTGCGAATGAGGTGCACGCAATTCCGTTATCCGAAGAATTTTTCTCGAGTTTTATTGAAATTCCCTGGAAACTAACCCTTGTATGTTCGGCCAGCACGTTACAAGGGTGATGTGTCAGCTATACTTGAAGGAATTCGAATATAATGCGGAAATTTTTGCTGCTTTAATGCGTTTTAACAAAACAACGGGCAGATTTAAAGTGTTTTTTTGACGAAAATCCAACATAGGTAAATGTGAACTAAATGGGAAAACTTGGCAATGTGCTGAGCACCAATTTGCCATTTGAATTTAAGCGGAAAGCAGCAGTCGGGAGAGACGTTTTTCTTCTCCAACCGGGTGCCACGTTCTTACTGTGCACTTAAATAGCAAAAAGTCATCAAGAGCGGGGTTTTTCCGGTGGGTCAATTAGGCAAAAAACGATTAAGCGAGCGCGCAACGAATCATTTCTTGCAAAATCAGCGAACATTTGCGAGAATGCAATTTTTCGGTAATTTGAACAATTGAAGCGAGTTGCGATCTTTGGCGTGTGTTACCGAAAAAACCCATTTTCAAAAATTCGCCATTTCCAAATTAAAGCAGGTTGAGCAACCGATTTTGTTTCGCTCATGGAAGACACTTTGGGGCTCAACTCCTGAAATTTTAAAACATATCAAGGGCTCAACTGATTTTCTAGAAATTTTTAAACTTGTTGCTGCATAGAACGGAAAAATTCCAAAAACACTAATTTTCAAAAATTCGCCATTTCCAAATTTTAGCAGGTTGAGTAACCGATTTTGTTTCGCTCATAGAAGACACTTTGGGGCTCAACTCCTGAAATTTTAAAATATATCGAAGGCTCAATTGATTTTC